ACGAAGTGATTCAGCTTGAGCCTGGGCACAGAGAGCACGATATCGACACGCTCAGCAAAGAGCTCGACGGAGTTCTCAGGGAAATCGAAACGTCTCTCAACAAGAGCAGTGAGCTCTCTAATCTACGACCCTTCTCACCAAGGACCTCACGAGTCCTAGTAGCACGGATGATAATCTCAGTCTTGATAGGAGTCACACGGACCTCGACACCAGAGTAACCATCTTCAGCAAGGATAGTAGTGAGAAGTTCATTAAGCTCCGCATAGAACACGCCATCGGCGACGAACTTACGCTTCTTGGAGACCTGCTTTTGACTCGCTGCAGTTGCCATCTTGGATAGAGGGTGCAATCACACTCCTTCAGAGGGCTATCGATCATCTAATCGATCAATTGTGATAGTAGCGCTCGCCCTAACACTCATGAGCCGTCGAAATAGTAGTAATGAGGATAGTAAGTATGGCTTGATGATGAGTAACAACACGACGGTCTTATGAATAGCCTACTTTTAGATTCTGATCAAATGACTGATACTACTACTAAACCCAGTTCTCTGAATATAGCTAAAATAAGCTACTCTGATGAATCCCTGTTGCCAGTACAGCGGCCTTATTCATTAATAGTTCGTAACCCAACCCCTACAACTAATGATTATTATGAGGGGTGTTTGTCCTTCACGTGATAACCTTAATGTTGTTGTTGTATATGGCGTTAGTGCGGTCGAGTACGGTATATGGGTCGCATGCCCGGAGGGCGGCATGGTATTGATAATAAGAGAATAATATCATTGTTGGTCTGAAGTATGATCATTTCTCTTATAATATGTGATACCGGTGCTTCAGCTTGTTAATATGATGCTATTAGTATGAGTAGAATAACGAGGATCTAAAGGGTATCAATAACCTGGTCGATGACTACAACGATCGGAACATTGGGATAACTGTACGGGTATTATCACTCATCTCTGGATAGTAATATTAATATGGTTAGGATTGTCATATATCACCATAACATTTCTTCTACAGTGAATTTGATAGGTAATATATTACCAGGAAAAGATAACACCACTGGCAAACACATAGAGATGTATACTACCATCACCACTACATTACCCGATATAAATCATCTCTAACTTTGACGATATATACATAATGATAGTAGTAGTAGTACTTTAGATGA